TGCACTAGGTTTAGAAACTCCTCATCGTCAACAATTTATTTCTCACAAAGTAATACAATAATTCCAACTGACATTTCTCTAAATACTTAAGAAAAATTAAAAAAAACCAAACCCCAAATAACATCGTGAAGAAAACAGATATGAGTTAATGAACTTTCTTTGATTTAACACTATTGTCAGAATTAAAATTATTTCATCTTTGCTGAGACACAAAATAACTGCAGCTCAGAAACTCTATTCCACCTTCATCAGCTGAAGAAGTACTGATTTTCTGGGACTTATTCTAATATTATGCATAGCAAAGTGCTTCAGTAACTGTAAGCGTACAGCTTAAGCATTGTGCAGTTTCAGGACTTTAATTGTGCAAGACTGTATAATTCCCTGTGCAATCATACTGAAAAAAAATAAAGAAAAAATAATTAATGTAATTGTAGTAGTTATTTCTAATGAAAAACAAAGTAGTTCGGATAAAATAAAAATTGGATTTTATCCCTTTACTCAAGTTCTGAACACAATCCAAGATGAAATTTAGCATGGAAACTACAGCCATGAGCCTGTGAAGACTACTCTGCTTACCCATCAATAACATTAGGCACGCTCACACGACTTTGTGGTCACGATCTCTCTCTGCTTAGGCCTTGAATCCTAATATTTAACTAACATACAGAGCATCTGCTAAAGCTGCTACCAAGGTTGTCTTACCGTTTAAACATTAAAATCAGGTTTTAAACCGACTTCTTTGCCAAAAGGTCAGCCATGCTATCATACAACATAAAACACACCTTTCTTGGCTCACTATAAAATACCAGAGAGACGATATCATGCAAGTAGTTACAGCAACCTGCCTTTTGAGAAACAAATCAGAATCCTTGTTAAAAACAGGAAAAGCACAATATATACTGCTGAGAAAGACTCACATCCCTACACCACCATGTAATAATGGAGTGTTATTAGGATCCCAAAGAGAGAGATGCCTCAGTTCTCACTCGGCAAGATTAGTGAGACCACTAATCGCCACCAGAATCGGTGCTGCTCCAGGCTGTATCAGCACATGCTCCGTGGTGGCACTGCTAAGCAACATGTACCTGAGGCAACATAATTTCCTGCGCAAGTTGGTAATTTGCTAATTTCCACCCATTTGAATTTGGGAGTAACTTGATCTTCATCTGTGGTTTCAGTGATCTGGGGACAGTGATTCTACTCACACCAGTACAGTTATACAGGGAATTGCTTGCAAGATGAATTCACAAAACCATCAGCTTATTTCATAAAGGCTACTGAACAACCTTCAGCATACTTTTGAATCTTCCTCCACTAAATACTTGCATCCTTCTTGCAAAGTCAACTCTTGGTCACATTGCTTTCTAGGAAAAAAAGTCCTGAAGCCCAAGGTGTTGTTCCTTCATATGCAAGTACCTGCATGCACTTCTGAATCAGGCCTTGATTTAAGACACGGGCCCATGACATCATCAAGCAGCACAGCGGCACTTCCAAGTTCTACTGGTCAGTTACCCAAGATGTCAAGGAAACTTAACCTCACAAGATCATGTCTTTAACAGCATGGTAAGATCCCAGAGATCCAGCCACAGGAACTCTACAGCGTTCACATGGTAAAATGACCAAAAAAAGAGCAAAACTGAGCTTCTCAGCAGCCTAAGTAACTTGCAGTTGAATACCTGACAATTGAAGAGCTACTGTTCCACTCCCATGCAATGCTCAGTCTAATCAGAACGGTAGTGGCAGCGTACTTCCCGTACACTCACTAGCATTAACGTGCTGGCTAACCATTGCAAGGGGGCTTCAAGGTACCAACCTACAGAAACACACAGGGCAGGGCTAGCTGTATTGCTCTGCCTTTCACAGAGCCTGGCTGCAGACTCAAAAATGCAGAAATGCAGAGTTATAATCTCAAGGTTGTTGACCAAAAAACACAGGCAAGAAAGCCGAGACGTGAAGTCGGTCCAATTTTTGAATTCCCTAGCTTTAGGCCTGTGGATATTGGAGCTGTGATGTGAATTCAGAAGACTGGTAAGTAACACAAACCAAAGAGCCAGCATTTTTAGCCCTGTGAAACAGTGAAGTTTGTTCATGACATCTACATATTTTCACAGGGAAAACAGTTGTGTACACCTGAAAGAAAGGTGTGCTCATGAAGGAAAGGTACTTACGAGCTGCTTTGATTTGTTTCTGAGTAGCCCTGTATCGTATATTTCCTAGCCCAAGAACTGCATAATGGTCTTGATTCTGAGGGGAAAAGCAAAAAAGAAAAAAAAAGAACCCCAATAAACAGTGGTAAATGCAACCTAAAAAGCCATAACACAACACGTGCACAAAACCAGTTCTCCTCCCCACCTTTTAAAAGCAAGAGGCAGAATTCCTCCCTCTCTCAATAAATATTAGAAAAAGAACAATCGTTGTAAAGGCCATAATTATTGAATAACCAAATATCAATAAATTAAGCTGCTGTTACAGAAATTCAAGTAACTTAATCTAAATTGGATTAAAGCACTGAATCCTAGAAAGTTCAATTACTAGAAAATTGAATTGCTGTCTTTAATATTAAGAGTGCTAATGCGATTCCAGAATAAGGGAGGCAGTAACACGGAGAAGGGACACTTTCACTGCTTACAGGCAGTAAGATGAAAAACAGTTCAAGACTCAGATGTGCGCTTGAGTTTGCCCTCATCAATCGGTTATGCGTGGAAAACACAAGCGCAGCTGTAATGCTAAGGGACACAAGCCAATTCAGATGGGGGCGGGAGGGGAGGAGGAAGGGCATCGTTAGCAGCTGGGGACGGCAGATAACTTTGACAGGAAATTTCCAGCAAAAAATAGTTAACACCAATTGATATCAACTGAATACCTTCCAGTCCTTTGGATCAAGGGTTTTTAACATAGGAAATTCTTCAAGCTGCAGTTCTTCGTCCCCTGATTCTTCAGAAAGTTCCTTCTCATCTTCTAACTCCTGGAAAGAGGCAGAAACATTTATGTTTCTCCTCTTAATAAATGCTTCAAACCATCTTCCCACAGGTTCCACTTGACAGAGTACTGATGCTATAAGCAAAAACATAAAAGCAACTTCACCTTCTGTGGTTTTTTTTGGTTTTGTTTTTTGTTTTGTTGTTTTTTTTTAAACTAAATGCCATCAAAGCCCATAAAAATACTGCATCACACAAGGCTGCAGATTGCCAAATCTTCTAGCTTGCTCTAGAAGGCTGCGGGGAGACCTGATTGCGGCCTTTCAGTACCTAAAGGGGGCCTATAGGAAAGATGGGGAAAATCTTTTTAGTAGGGCCAGCTGTGTCAGGACAAGGGGTAATGGTTTTAAACTGAAGCAGGGTAGGCTTAGACTGGATATAAGGAAGAAATTCTTTACAATGAGGGTGGTGAAACACTGGAACGGGTTGCCCAGAGAGGTGGTGGAGGCCCCATCCCTGGAAGCATTCCAGGCCAGGTTGGATGGGGCTCTGAGCAACCTGATCTGGTTAGGGGTGTCCCTGCTCCCTGCAGGGGGGTTGGACTAGATGAGCTCTAGGGGTCCCTTCCAACCCAAAACATTCTATGGTTCTATGAAAACCACCGGTTTGCTTTAAAGATTGCAAGAACCAGAACCCGCGCCCGCCGGGCAGCACCTTCCGAACACTTCCCTGTGTTCTCAAGCCTGGAAAAGTGCTCTCCAGTTAGAGGAACGCACGCGTTAAACTACACTTAAGGCCGTCCCTGCTTTGGGAAGAGGGGAGATGACCGCGGCAGAACACTAAACCCGCCCCG